GCGGGCTCATGGCCGGGACGTTTGCCGGGGCTCCCGCGGGGAGGGGCGCTGGTGGGGGGGCGCCCGTAGGCTCCCTCGCCGCCCGCCGCGGGATGTCTCATGTCGCCGTCTCTCTTCCTGTTTTTCAGCTGTCACGACCGGAGGGGGGACTCGCAGCCTTACCAGGTACCAGCCGAGACCGGGGCGGAGGGGCGGATGGGGGCCGGCGGGGGAAGGGAGGAACTGCTACTCGAGCGCAGGCTTCAGAAGTCGCTGCAGGCCCTTCGGTGCCACAGATCCGAAACTAGCACCGTGGGGCCGCGGCAGCCCCGGGATCGGGCTCCCGAGGCGCTCGCCAGCGAGGCTTAGTGACTTATTTTGACAGGTGATTGAAGGAGGTTCAGGGTTTTTTTGTTTTGTTTTGTTTTGTTGTTTTTTTGGAAAAAAAGCATTCTCAGCCAGAAAGGACCTGGCTCTATTATTTGGGTGCGAAGGGATCGTTGGGTGAGGTGGTAGGTGACTCTTGAACCATGTTTCTTTATCGTGTTGGGGAACCAAAAGTTAACGTAAAGGTATTAAAATGAGTTGGACGGCCTGGGAGGAAACCAGTGATTGATTTGCCATTCTCAAGCGTGTTGTAAGTCACTGTCCTTTCCCGATTTGTTTTTGGTGCAAATAATTGCCGTACTAGGGGGCTTTTTTTTTTCCTGTAGGAATTGAGATCTTTGGAAACTTGGCTATTGAGTCTCATGTAGATGGTTCTAGGTATGTGGGTTCCTTTTTTTGTTACTGCAGTGGCGGCCTGTAAAGTTTTAAGAAATTATGATAGAAGTTGCCCCTGTTTTCCAGAGGGGGAAAAGTCTCATAAATGGTTCGTTAACTTGCAGATAACACTAGAAGTAAGTACTTTCTACAGCTAATCACTTAAAGGATAGGAGAGCAGGTTTCTAAGTTGATAGTTCCGTTACTGGCCAGCACCAGTTGTTAAAGCTCAAGTTAAAAACCCTAGGTCTTGGGATGTGTAAAAGGTTGATCATTACGTTTGGGTAAGTCAAAAGATTAAAACCTATTGAATCACACCTTCTAAAACATGATTAGTGCATTTTAAAAGAATACTGTATCATGGTTCTCTTAAATGTGTTAAATGTCTTTGTTAAATTATTTTGAGGGAGTTCCATTATGATAGGGTAGAAGCATCAGCCAACTTTTTTATACCAAAAATTTGTTTCCCGCATCTGCAGAAATAGTTGTTAGGTCTAAAATCCTTTATTTGAATCAGAATTGTAGAAGCTAGTGCTTTCCTTTTTTTTGTAGGTTTGCAGAATCATGTTTATGCTTACTTATAGTTTTATATAGCACATCAGTTAGTCTACATTTCTATGTAGACTAAACTCTAATTCTCAGAAAAATTTTTTGAGGAATTAATGTATTAACTGTTCGATTTCTTCTGTTTACAAGATTATTAATGGAGGAAATTTTCTTAACATGATACTATGATTTGTACAAGGAGCCTTACAGTAACTCTTAAATGTTTGGGTTTTGTCTGAATGACTTAAAGGCAGAATTGAAAAAGGAAATTTTAATTTTATTGATAGAAATTCTTAAAACTTAATGAAGTCAGTATACTGAGTTTTATGCTAAAATTAACTTTAGGAAGTTTAAAGTTTCAATTCTTTCTCTCTTTTTTGGGGGGGTGATGTTTTACAGGCACTTAAGTATTCATCGAAGAGTCACCCCAGTAGTGGTGATCACAGACATGAAAAAATGCGAGACGCCGCAGATCCTTCACCACCAAATAAAATGTTGCGAAGATCTGATAGTCCTGAAAACAAATATAGTGACAGCACAGGTCACAGTAAGGCCAAAAATGTGCATATTCACAGAGTTAGAGAGAGGGATGGTGGTGAGTAGCTTTTTTGTTGAAACTTTCACATGTTTCTTTTAAACAATAATTCTGTATAAGAATAAAAGGTGGCAGTATTATTTCCAACTTGTGGAAATTACTATATGGTTGTCAACAGCATATTAGTTTATTTGATTCCTAAACAGATTACTGTAGAAATAAGATGCTGATCTGAGCATCTAAAAATGGACTTCAATGACTGATAGAGAATGCCTTTATGAATGTAGTTTGCCAGTGCTTTACTAATGTTGAGAGAAATCAGAACATTTTTCCAAGAAAGGAACTTAAGTCTTTTCAAGTAGAGATTTCAGTTTATTTGGTCTTATTTTGAGAACCTTGTTTCTGCTTGAATTTTTTAAGGAGTTCAGATGTGTTTCCTAATGGTAAGTTATGGATTTAAAAACTTAGTAGGATTTTTGAGATAGTTTACAAGTTAGAAGAAGTCATATATTCTCCAAAACCATATCGATGTAACTTCTATATTATTTATTTAAATATTCACGTTTTCAAAAGTTTAGCCTCATTTCTTTTGCATTCTGCTGTTATCTTCAGCTGATAACTTCCCTCAGGTTCTTTGTGGTGTGAGGCTGAGGAAGAGTAAACTCTTAATTTTTTTCGGGTTTAATGTGCCCCAAATTTTCCAAAATACCAGATTTCATGTCTAAAGCATGCATTGAGAGACAAGCCAATCTCAGTAAGGTGATTAAGAATCTTTATTTTTTCCCACTATAAGATCTTAAATTGCTAAATAAGTAACATGTATCAAAATAAGTGTACCATGTTGACTATGCTCTTGTAAGCTTCTAAGGAAGTTCAGCAGATTTTCTCAGGCTTTCTATCTCTGATTTTCAACTAGCTTCTCAATACTTTGCTTACTTAAAAAAAAAAAAAATCCCGCATCTTCTGGTTCTCTTTTCTGCCCCCAGGATAGAAATCAGCTATATTAAGTATGACGAGATACTGAGAAACTTTGGTCTCCTTTGTATATAATTACTGGGTTGAGGAAATTAATAGTGATCAGAAGATTGTATTGAGGTGGAATAATTTAGATGGGTTATTGAATGGGAGCGAAATACAGTTCTGTTGAATACAGCATAGTTTTGTCCTACTTATGCAGGTAAAACTATTTTTGTTTATAAATAACAGCAGGTGGGTTTGGTTGTTAGAAGTATTTTGGCAAAATTAAACTATTAGTATACTCAATTTTGTGGGTAAACTTTCCATAGTGTTAAGATTCTATTACTAACCACTTTTGAAATGAAATACGCTACACAAATGTTACCTCTTAGAAGGCAGGTACTGTTTGTACTGTATTGTGCCTTATTTTTAAGATTTTGGTGATTGTGACAAAATAGGATGTGGCACTTCATCTCCTTGTAGATAAGTATCTAAGATTCTCTTCGTAATTATGATCCAGTTACTCTTATCATCTACACCCAAACCTGGGAAGAGGTCAGTTTAGGTACTCTAGGAAACTTCTGGAAGTGCTGTCGTACATTTACAGGGAACCATGCCTGATAAATTCTTTTACAGGTGAAGTAATCCCAAGAACATTCTGTTGCTTATTCACTCAGCAAACATTGGGCATCTGCTCTGTGTTAACAGCTGTGTGGTATTCCTGGAAGTAATGCTAAAATGTCATCCTGGCCTTGAAGCTATTCTTAAAGGCTTTGACTCTGGAGAGCTAGTGATGTTTTAGCTGCCTACTTTTTCTGTTCTGTTTTATCTTCCTTTTGATTTTAGTTTTACTTCCTGTGTATACATCAGATACCTGTTGTTGGCTTTTAGTTTCCTTTTTGTTTGCATCTGCTTGCTGATGTTTCTTTAGCTCCTTCTGTAAGAAACATTTTTCTGATCTGATCTAGTCATTTGCAATGTTAAGCCCCACTTTCTAGTTGGCTTTTTAGCTGCTTGCGTGTCTTCCCCTGGACCCTTTCAATGCTAATGCCGTCCCTGTCTGTATCATCTCTAATATACCTGGCTGACATGTTCCCTGACACTATGTAGGAATAGTAATGAATACTGTAAAAAATAGGAGAATCTCCATTCTTGAGTTCAGAGTGCATCTTTGA